GGAAAGTAAATTTAATTTAGATTTGATATTTATTTATTAATTACAGTATCCACCGTATATTGTAACCCCTTAAAATAGTATCCGGTTCCTCATTTAGTACCCGTGGGTATTATTCAATTTGAAAAATCAAATTTTGATAAAGACCCGGGTACTGTATGCAGTGCATACGGTAATTTACAATATAACTTCCACTCCTAGGTACCTTTGATTTCAATCAGGAGAAAAAGATGCCTCAGCATCTTAATGTGAATCCCTATTAAGATCAGTATGAATTGGGACAATGCATAATTTATTGAGATAATTTTTGTAAAGAGATTCATGCTGGAGATAGAAATAATTACAATAAATTTTAAGGATGATGGATATAAGTTATTTTTTTGCAGTTTCAAGAAATTGGATTTTGGGTAAATTTATGCAACAAATGCAATTTTTAACTACTGGTGGCAAATAACAGTTTGTCAACAAAAAAAAAATTGTCACGTGATTAGTGACTTTTCGTGAATTTTACGCTGTGCCGCAATGGTTTGGAATTTAAGATTGAATGCATGCATTAATTAATTAAATTTTTTTTTCTTTTTCATTTTTTTTTTTTTTAAAAAAAAAAAAAAAAGGAAACGTTTAATTAGCTGTGCTAATTCTGGATTTTTATTAATATTTAGCGAATTGATTTTTTTTTCCTTTATGTTTAAATTCAGTCCTTTCTTGCTTTTTATAAGGCTCGTCATTATTAGTTTTTTTTTCAACAGGTTTCTCATTTTTTTTTCTTTAAACCATCTTTCCTCTTTTGGTTTTTTATCTTTTTTTTCTTGAATATGCATTTGTTAATAATAATGACTTTGTTCTATGTTTCTTTATGTAAAATTGTTAAACCTCTGGACAAACATCATCAATCACAACGAATTTATCTAAGGATCTTGTAACAGTTTTAACAATAAATAGACTATCGAAAAAGGTTAATTTCAATGAATATTTTTTCTTGATTGTCATTTGGATGATTATTTCTTGTTACACAACGTAACACTGATTGTTGTGAATCGGAAAAAGTTTTCCGGAACGAAATTTAAAGCAATCTTTTACTAGATAATGTTGTCTATACTGAAATTGCATATACATAAATGCATTTGTTTATTTCATTTGTACAATGTATCCATCAAATCGAGAAGAATTATATGATGATTTATATGATAAATTGGGTGATGCCAGGAGGTGTGAAGAATGTCGTCAAATAAACACAGGGTACGAATGGTGTCAACCTTGTAATTCAAAAAGATTTAAAAGAGATTTCATCAATTGGACCAGTGGTAATGATGACATTGATAGATTTATTCAAAGTATTCAATTATCAGCGAATAATGAATTTGAAGTGTTAGAATGGATAACTTATAATAGATTTTATGATATTATGCATGTTGCAAATTGTGGATTTAGCACTGTATATAGAGCAAAATGGAAGGATGAGAGATTTGTAGTACTTGAGTATTTGAGTGATTCACAATATATTATATTTGACGAGGTAACAAAAATAATTTCAACCTTTGAAGTGGAATATTGATTAACTAATCAAACTTTTTTTTAATTATTTAGATTAAATCATATTATGAATTAATTGAAGAAAAATTGGCAAATTCTAGATGTTATGGAATAACCCAAGACCCAAGTACAAAAAATTATATGATGGTTGTGGATGATAGAAATTTACAAAGTTACGTGGAATTAGCAGAGCAATTTCAAATGTATGGAATATGCAACGAATGTAATCAAATAAACACAGGAGAGGAATGGTGTCGAACTTGTAATTCAAAAATATTTCAAACAAATTTCAATTATTGGACTAGTGACAATGATGATATTGATGAGTTTATTCAAAATATTCAGTTATCGGCAAATAATGAATTTGAGATGTTGGAATGGGTACCTTTTAACAGATTTTATAATATTAATTTTGAAGCTGAAGGTGGATTTGGTATAATCTATAATGCAAAATGGAGTAGTTATCAATGGGCAAATCACTTTCAAACAAGATTCGTGATTCTCATAAGATTGAATACTACACAAAATATTAAATTAGATATACTGAACTTTATCAACGAGGTAATAGATTTATTTATTATTTAATGAAATGTTCTAATAGATTGCTCTATTAACGTAGTTTATCTTAATAATTTAGATCAACTCTTATCATAAATCAATTAAAAAAACATTATCAGACAATTGTAGGTGTTACGGTATAACTCAAGATCCAATTACCAAAGATTATATGATCGTTATGAAATATATGAGCTTGCAGAATTATTTGAAAATAAAAGAACAAGCTAAAAAATACAAAGGATGTGTGAAATGCAGAAGTACAAATGATGATTGCTGTAGTTCTAAACGATTTCAACAAAACTTCAAAAATTGGACCAGTGGTAATGATGATGTTGATAAGTTCATCCAATATATTCAATTATCAGCAGATAATATATTTGAGGTGTTAGAATGGATACCTTACAATAGATTTTTAGATATTGAACATTTTGAAAGAGGAGTGTTTGGTACAGTATATAATGCAATATGGAAAGATGGTTTTATATTTAGTTTGGATGTAAATATAAATCGTCATCAATGGAGTAGATATGATCGCGGTGGGTCCGTTGTTCTTGAAAATCTGAAGAATTCGCAAAATATTACATTTGATCAGGTAATTAATTTATTATTTGGTGAAATTTTTTTTTCTTAAAAAGGTTGATTGATTATCTTTTAACGAAATTAATCATAAAAACTTAGATTAAATTATATTACGAGCTGATTGTAGAAAAGTTAGCAAATGTTAGATGTTATGGAATAACTCAACACCCTATTACACAGGATTACATTATGGTTATGGATAAACGAATTTTACAAATTTACTCAAAGTTAAAGAAATATGGAAAATGTAAAAATTGCAATCAGATAAATACAGGTGAAATATGGTGCTGGACTTGTAATTCTGAAAAATTTCAACAAAATTTCATAAATTGGACTAGTAACAATTATGATGTTGATAAATTTATTCAAAATGTTCAGTTATTAGCAAATAATATATTTGAGATCTTGGAATGGGTACCATATGAAAGATTTTATGAGATTCAGTATCTCGTAAAAGGTGAATTTGGTATCGTATATAGAGCAAGGTGGAAAGATGGCTTTATATTTAGTTTAAATTTAAATAATCATGAATGGAATCGGTACGATCCGAACGAATTTGTGATTTTTGAAAGTTTATATAATTCACAGTATATTGCATTTAATCAGGTAATTAAGGTATTAGTTAATTGATTGTAAATATGATTAACATTAATCGCTAGCTAACATAAAGTTATTTGATAATTTAGATTAAATCACATTATGAATTAATTAAAAAAATCTCCAGCTGTTATGGTATAACTCAAGATCCAATTACGAGGGATTACATGATAGTTATAGCTGATAGGAATTTAAAGAACTATTTGAAGCTGACGAAACAATTTAAAAAATATGGGATATGTAAAGGATGCAATCAAATAAATACCGAAGAATTATGGTGCTCATCATGTAATTTAGAAAGATTTCAACAAAATTTTAAAAATTGGACTAGTAATAATCATGATATTGATAAATTTATCCAAAATAATCAATTATCAGCAAATAATATATTTGAAGTGTTGGAATGGATATCCTATGATAGATTTTATGATATTGAAATTACAGATTGTAGATTTGGTGTAGTATATAAAGCGAAATGGAAGGATGGATTTATATCTAATTGGAAGATGCATCAAGATCAATGGGATAGATATAATCAAAATAAATTTGTACTTCTTGAAAAATTGAGTAATTCAACAAACATTACATATCATAAGGTATAAGATAAATTCATTATTAGCGAAAATATTTTTTAAAAAAAAAAATCACTTATTAACATATTTATTTCGATGAGTTAGGTAAAGTTACATTTTCAAGTAATTGAGGATAATGGTATTAAATGTTATGGAATAACACAAAATCCAGATACAAAAAATTATATGATCATTATAGAATATACTGAACCAGAGCATAAAAGTTTACAACAACTTAAAAAATATGGAAGGTGTAAAAAATGCTATCAAATTTATACGGGAATTAATTGGTGTCAAATTTGCAGTTCAAAAAGTTTTCGCCGAAATTTTAATAATTGGACTAGTGGTAATGGTGATATTGATACATTTATTCAGAATACTCAATTGTTAGCAAATAATATATTTGAAGTATTAGAATGGATAACTTATGATAGATTTTATGAAGTTGAGTATATTACCAGAGATGGATTTGGTAAATTATATAGAGCAAGATGGAAAGATGGATTTATATTTAGTTCGAATAAAAATCTTAAAAGATATGGACAAAATGGATTTGTAATTCTTGAAAGTTTGAATAATTCGCAAAATATTACATATAATAAGGTAATGATTAATTTATATTGTTAATGAAAATTTTAGTATGTAATATTTGTTAATATTTTTTACATTTTTAATTAGATTAGTTTACTTTATGAATTAATTGAAAAAAAATTAGAAAATATTAGATGTTATGGAATCACACAAGATCCAAATACAAAAAATTATATGATGGTAATGGATTACAAAAATTTGCATAGTTATTTAAGGTTAGCGGAACAATTTGAACGATATGGAATATGCGAAGGATGTAATCAAATAAATACGGGAGAACTATGGTGCTGGACCTGCAATTCAAAGAAGTTTCAACAGGATTTTATCAATTGGACAAGTGGGAATAATGATATTGATCAATTTATTCAAAATACTCAAATATTAGCAAATAATATATTTGAAGTATTAGAATGGATACCTTATGATGGATTTCGTAAAATTGAAATTTTTGCTGAAGGAACTTTTGGCGCAATATATAAAGCGCATTGGATTGACGGACATATATTTAGTTTAAATACAAATATTAACCAATGGATTAGATATGATCAAAATGGACTTGTATTCCTTACAATAATGAAAACTACACAAAATATTAAATTGGACATATTGGAATTTATTAATGAGGTAATGGATTATTTATTACTTGATGAGAAAGAATCCTTCAAATATGATTGCTTATTAATGTATATTATTATAATTTAGATTGATTCATATTGTAAATTAATTAACAAAAATTTATCAACATCAGTCAGATATTATTATGGCATAACACAAGATCCAATCACTCATGATTATATGATAGTTATGAAGCATATGGATTTACCAAATTTTTTGGAATTGAAAGAGCAAATTAATAAATATAAAGGGTGTGTAAAGTGCAGAAGTACAAAAGACGATTGTTGTAGTTCAAAAAGATTTAAACAAAACTTCAAAAATTGGACAAGTGGCAACAATGATATTGATAAATTTATTCAAAATATTCAGTTGTCAGCCGATAATGAATTCGAGGTATTAGAATGGATACCTTATGATAGATTCTATGATGTTGAATATATTGCAAAAGGTGGATTTGGAAAAGTAAATAGGGCAAGATGGAAAGATGGATTCATAATTAATTTGGATATTAGACAGCATCATTGGAATAGATATGGCCAAAATGAATTTGTAGTTCTTAAAAGTTTATATGATTCACAGAATGTTACATTGGAATTTATTAATGAGGTAATGAAATCAATTTAAAATACTAAAAGCATTTGCATGATTATTTTTCTAACATTATTTATTAAATAAATTAGATTGCTTCACATTATAAAATGTCCGAAAAAACATTAACATTCATTGTCAGATGTTACGGTATAACTCAAGATCCGGTTACAAAAAATTATATGATGGTTATGGAATATGCCGAACATGGAAGTTTACGAAATTATCTAAATGCAAACAAAGATTTGAATTTAATAAATAAGATTCTTAATTTACGTAACATTGCAAAAGGGCTTGAGAAAATCCATGAAAAAGAACAAATTCATCGAGATTTACACACCGGAAATATAGTAAGATTTAGCTTTAAATCTTGTATAACTGATATGGGATTGTGTAGACCAGCAAATTATAAGGAAATCCTAAATGCAAAGAATCATATATATGGCATTTTACCGTTTATAGCTCCTGAAAATTTGCGCAATCATGTTTACACTAAAGCATCTGATATTTATAGTTTTGGTATAATAATGTATGAAGTAATTTCAGGCTTACCCCCATACAATGACATAGAAAGTGAACATGAAGGATCTTTAGCAATTAAAATTTGTAATGGAGTGAGACCCAGATTTAATATTAAAGTACCCCAATTAATTTTATATTTAATTAAAAGATGCCTAGATGCAGAACCATCAAACCGACCAACAGCAATGGAAATTAGAGAAATTTTTGATAAATGGTATTACGATATTTATGATTATGAGACAGAACTGTCTAAACAAATCAAAGAAGCAGAAAGTATAAATAAAAGTACATCGGCTAGTATTATTCCAACAACAAGTGAAACACGTTCTGATTCTAAATATTATAGTAGATTACTTATTTTTGATAATCTTCCGGAACCAAAAAATTCAGATGATTATTATAAACGGTATGATGATATATCAAGTATGGAATGTTCAGGTATTTATTATTTGATGTTGAAAAATTATTGATCATGTAAATATAATCTAACAATTTATTTTAATAATAATAGAAACTTTACAAATTATTATTCCAAATTAAATAGTCAAGGATTTGTCTCTGAACGCCAAAAAGTGATGTCGATCATTTCTTTAAGTTTTGACTTCGTCATTTTTGTAATATAGGATTCTATTTCATAACTAGAAGTATTCAATATTTTTAGTTGACAATTCAACAAATTTGAATAAAAATTTTTGAATTCAGATATTTGAAACAAATTTAATTTAGTTAGTAAATTTATTTTTTGAATCTTATTTGATATAATATTTAACATAATTAATTAATAACAAAATTTTGTTTTTATATATATATACAGTATATAACTTGAGTTTAAATTATAGCAAAATATAATCAATTAATAAAATAAATATAAAAAAAAAAAAATTACAATAAATATATTTTATTTAAAATGTAACCTTTTCAAATTTATTAATTATATTGGACCTTTGCAATAGAAAAGGGGGAAATGGCTGGAAAAAATAAAAATTGAGTAAATGCTAAATCTGAACATATTTTGACCTAACAATCATATTTGGCATATAAAAGTAAAATTGATTTTTTTCAGCTGTTTCCCCCTTTTCTATTGCAAAGATCCCATATATTAAATAAATTATTAAATAATTTTTTAAACAATCTAAATATTCTCAATTAATTAATAAAATAAATCGCCAGATATAATGTAAAAAAGTTCAATGTAATTAAAATAGGTCGCAAGTGAATACATTCAGAAATGATCGACGTCAATTCGCCAATATTTTAAGCGGTGAAAATTAAAAAAGGTTAATTATTTTTCGCTTTATTTGGTCGTTTCTCGCAATTTATAAATGCGAAAAGGATAGCTCCTCTTAGTTGAAATAAACTGTTTGATATAGTCTAGTTCGAATTGGATATTTTATTGTACGTAAGGAAATAATAGGATGCGATGCATACTTAACAATATGTTCATACATGAAAAATAACCCGTACATGCTAATCAGAAATGGAATGGCATGCAATTCGTTAATAAAATTTTCAGAAGCAGGGAGAGTACTAGGAAAATCAGTAATATATTTCTTTATCGAATAAAAGAATGAATTCAGATATTTCGCTTAAAATCGAGGCGCAGCAGAAACAGATCCATTTTTTTGTAATATCACTTTCATTTCAGTTTATCATCTAAAAATCAGTTAACCGGATCTCATTGATTAATAACGGCACCGTTATGTATGTATATAATAACTTTTGCTCATATTTTCATATTTTGCGAAAATAAAATATTTTCAAATTTTATTGTCGATCCAAAATTATGATTATTTGAATTAACCACCTTCGTTATGATGGAATTTGACTTTCGTTTAGGTTATATTTATTTTGCTTAGCCAAAAAAAAAAAATTTTAATATAGTTACATTTTTTTTGATAAATTTTTTTTTTTTTTTTTTTTTTTTTTTTGAAACATAATATGAACTTCATAATACTTAAAAAAAACCATAATTTCGACCGAAACAAGCATCGTACGAATTGTCAAATATGAATCATTGAACTTTATTGGCGGTATCTCACATTATGGCACATGAACCTTAACTTTATAAGGAACTTAAGAACCTGCGGTCGGTTTATAATAGTTCTCTGAAACAGAGCAAAAATATATTGAAAATTTACAAAAAAAGGTTCTGCAATAACATTGTGTAACGTTTTTTGTGCAATAACTGCACATCGTCTGCGTTTGAGATGCAATTACTGCGGTAACATTTTCGAATTTCGGGTATAAAACGTGTGCATAAATGGAAATTTTGAATAATTACTTCTTTTACTGTTATTATTCTTCAAATTTTAAACGAAGCATTTAAACATGTTTGAGAATTATTCAAAATATATTATTATTCTATGGATAATAATTCAATTATTAAAGGTTATAAATTGCCAAAGGACGTTCAAGCCATTAAAACGATATGGTCATACTGCCACAGTCATTGGGGATAAATTGTATATTCTGGGTGGTCAAAATGATGAGATAGCTAATAGTGGAGTTGGAAGTGAATTCTTTTACCTTGATATTTCCGTACCATTTAATGTTCAAGATATATTATGGCATGATTTAACAATCGGTAATATAGTCCCTGCACATTTTGCCGCCGCATCCGGTAAAGGTGGTGCAAATAATAATAGTTTGATTTTATATGGAGGAACTCAATCTAAAAATGTAGAAATGGCTTTGGTTTATATGTATGATACTCAAAAGAACACATGGAACGTCCCGATCACAACCGGTAACAATGTTACTAGAAAAGCTAACCTAAAAGGCGTCGTCAATCTTAGTGCGAAAATGTTCTTATTCGGTGGACGCAGTGATAAACTTCTTTTAAATGATATGCTCATCTTAGATACAATAAATTATAATTTGGCAACAGGAAGCATAACTGATGCACCTTCTCCAAGAAGTTCTTATGGTGGAACTTTATTGACAAATCATTTCATTATTTATTTTGGTAAGAAAATAATAAAATATGCATAATCTGTTATCTATAAAATTATCCTTTTACCTTGCTTATACTAATTTATCGGATCGGTTAGGCGGCACTTTTACCACATCTGGTGTTGATGGGGTGTCCTTATCATTAAAGGAGGTGAGTCCTGTGACCAAACTTGACTTTAACCGATTTTCGAAATGATGATTGACATATGATTTTGATTGATTTAGATCTACCTATATGACATAATTCATGATGATTGGATTTCAAAGGTAAATAAATTGACGATATTTTATATAATAAACAAACAGTTTTTTAATAGAATAAATTAAAACAGGTTACTACGGGTACAATACCTTCAGATAGAGAATCCTTTTCTGTGGTACTGGGTAAGACATTTATTATTAAAAAATTTTTTTTTTTTTTTTATCAAAATATCTTTGAAAACTTATTTAATCAGGTAAACATTTTACTAGGATTGGATGGACAGCAGTTAATAATTTTTGGGGGGATTAGTAATTTTAATGATCTGAAACCACAAGATACAATTTATATGTTAGATTTAGTAAATTTTGAATGGAAAGTTCCAAAGGTTTCTGGAAATATTCCAAGTTCCAGGTATTGGCATCAAGCGAATGTGATTGGAAAATATATGGTCGTAACGTTTGGTAAATTTCACCTTCTTTTATCATTTTGAAATTTTACGCATAAATTATAAAAATTTTTAATCCTAAATCAACATTTTAAAATTTATAGGATTTGGTTATGATATTACAGTTGATAATGATGTTTTACTGCTAGACATTAGTAATAAGGATGAATTAATATGGACAAATATTTATGATCCCACAGCTTTATTATTTTCAAATTCATCATCAACCGTACCAACAATAACAGTAGGAGGTACAGCTTTTATACCATTATCAATGCCGGTTGTAATCGGGATAGCTATAGGAACAACGTTAAGTATTATCCTTTTATCACTTGGAGGATTTTTCATATATAAATGGAATCGAGGTAAAAAAGAAGCCAATAGAGCGGTACCAACCCCCGGAAACGGAGATAATATTAAGAAGAACGACAACAACAACAACAACAACAACAATGACAACGACAAAAACAACGACAATAACAACGACAACAACAACAACAAAAACAACAACAAAAACAACAATAGTAACATCAATAAAAACATAAATACCAATATTAACAACAACAACAACAATAATAATAATAATTTTAATAGTGTTTTGGATATGACTTCTCAAAGCAGTAATCTTAGTAATTATGGACAAGGTATGGTCGCTTACCCTCAAATCCCTGTCAATAATATGTATTTCCAAGAGCAACAAATTCAAATACCCGACACCGCTTACTTTTATGGACAGCAAATGATTCCAATGCATGACGAGATAATAGCAACTTCAAGTGGTGATAACCAAATGTCTTCAGCGCAAAATATTGATAATGTTTTAGAAAATTTTAAACATGATATAATTCAGGTAGTTAGACAAGAAATCAAGCATAATAGAAAGTAGCAAATAGTTTTATTTTATTTTTTAAATTTAGTTCCGTCTTTTATTAGGATAATTTTTAAAATTTTACTTTACTTAGAAATAATGTGAAATTCCAGTTTATATTCTTTAACTTATTTAGGGTTGTGCCATTTGTATCACAGAAATGTAACATATTATAAACACGTCATTTCATCTATAAATTTGTGTTTTCCCGTCAGTTTAGTTTACCCTGTATAAATAATAATGATTAAATTGTGTAACGTTACATAATTCCAAAAAGTGACCTGTATTCGAAATATTTATTATTTTTTTTTTTTTTAAAAAAAAAAAATCGCTTTATATATATATGTACTACAAGAATTATTCTATGAAAACTTGGTACAAATAGGAGAATTAAAATGCGAAAGTTAAAAAACTCGTGATCATAGTTTGTTATAATTTTTTTATTGATTGACAAAATACAATATTATCATTTTGATTTTTTAATATAAAAATCATACTTTAAGAACAATTTTGGAAATTCAACTTGAATAAACCTTATTTTTTTAAATTGAATGTGGCTGAATAAATTTCGTTATACACGAAAATTGTTCAGTTTTAATTCGTTGGTCGTTTATTTTTTAAAAAAAAAATTTTTTAATCGACAATATTAAAGAAGGATTCGACAGATATGATCGTTGTTAACCATTTTTAGTGTAAAAATCTAGACATTCATTTCCTTTTATAGAATTCAAAAATTGAGCTAAGCCCATTATTTAAATACGGAATACCTTTATTTAACTAGTCGTAAATCATTTAATTTAAAAAAATTACTCTATCAATTCAATTTAAAAGGATAAGTGTATAACCTGTTCAAATTAATCTTAATAAATGAATTTTATCTATGAGAAAATAGTAAAATGGAAAAGAAAGGTTCTCTTCCTTTACTTCATTTATTCACTATGGTAGATATAAATAATATCAGCAATTAATACATTATTAATAATTCGTAAAATTCCACATTTTCCTGCAAGATTCTTTGAATTTGTTTCAGATAATGGAATTTGAATGCTCACATAACCTAATTTCAATTGTGATGAAACTAATGTAACGTCTCACATAGCGCCAACGCATGTTATGCATGACGCTTCACGAGTGTTACCTGTTACGGCATACGTCTTCGGCTCTCGCCATTGAATGTGTAGAATTAGAAACGTGTTAAGATTTGAAAGAAAAATAATCATCCCAGTCATATTTTTTAGTATCAAAAGAGAGCCAAGTTGCTAACTGAGATTCGAATCAGTTAATATTCAATCCCCAATTTTGATGCGATGCGATCACCTTTTTAATTGGTTGCCGATTTCAAATATTGGGCATCATGATTTTTAATTCTCTCAAGTTTTGTTGACGAAATCAAATTCTAAAACTTTATTGCGGCAAACAGTTTTAAAACGATAGCTAAAAAATTACTCGATTAAATTGAAAATTCTCTGTTCATGTGATTAATTTAGCATTATTATAGAAAAAGTTTCATCTGTTATAAAAAAATAAATGATTATTACTCGTATCACTTAGAAAATTCATTAAATCAAATTACCCTTTACCCGTTATTTTAATAAACCCTATTGTATTGAAACTTATTACCTTTTCATCCAATATTTCATTTTCAACCCAAAAGTGGAACTAGCGACTGATTATGCTTGTGTATGTGATTTAGTAATAGGTCTGTCGTTGAAAAATTCTGAAATAATTGAATTAATGGTTTTCGCTTAAAAATTACTATATCAATCGTAAATAATATGATGATGATGCCTTTATTCTAGAGACATTCAAATATTCGCGTTCAATGAAACACGATATTTGTATCATCACGTGATAGCGTGTACGTAAAATCAAAAAAGTTAACTTTAGCATATTTCTGATATTTGATTGATAAAATTAGGAAACTGAACCATGAGTTCCCGTTTGTGATGACATTCAACTCACTTTTAACTATTTGTTTCGTAAAAAAATATTTTTTTTTTGTAAAATACAGCAAGCTTACACGGTATGACAAATGCAAATCTTGTTTTATTTTTTTTTTTTTTTAATTCTTATTTAATCAACGTTGTTATAATAAAGTAACATGTCAATACTCTCGTATTATGGTTTGATTCAATTATTAAATTAAAATAAATTGCCAAGTTGTGCTATTTAAGTCATCACAACGAAATATCTTACTTCTACACTTATTGATGGTATATACAGTATATATAGTAGGTGGTCGAGATGAAGAGTCAACTGTTAAAATTGGCAATGAATTTTTTATCTTGATGTCTCAGTTCTATTTGACACTCAAAATATATCATGGCATGATTTAACAATCTTCCAGAAAATCTCTGCGGCATCCGTTTTTTGGTGACGCAAAAAATAATATGGAGGAATTCCTTATTATAAAGTAGTAATGTCTTAGTTTATGCATTCGATACTCAAAGTAATATATGGACTTCAAAAAATAACTAGTGATAATTTTAATAGAAGATAGACTAAAGGCATCGTTGATTATAATGGCAAAATGTATTTGTACGGCGTACTATCTAAAGAATTTTCTGTACAATAAATTTGACTTGGAAAGTAGGAACTTCAATCAACGCACCTTCACCAAGATGCGTTTATGATGCAACTTTATTATCAAATGATATCAAATAATCTCATGACCGATCAACAATAAATTTATTTATTCTTTCAGGGGGGTTTTAATGCTGATTTTTTTATCCTTAAACTAGTTGGTATCTGCTGCGCTGCAGCAGGTTAAAAAAATAGAAGCATTGGTAATTGAATTATATAGTAGAATTTTTGGGATTTTT